TACCCGCATGAATAGCTGAAAACTTTCCGGATTATTCAGCAATTACAAGACGCATTTACTTGAATATATTGACACTAGAAGTGAAACTGGGCAAGATATTGCGCGACTCTACCAAGTTGGAACCGTCCCGTTTTCCAACACGTACTTTCGAACAACATATTTTGAACTTAAAACTGGCTCAGTGAGGTAATCGGAATCAAATGACAAAATGGGATTCGCGAAAGAAAACTTATTGCGGATACCGACCATGGTCAAGATCGGACAAGTAGTGAGTAGAGTCCAGTCATGAGTCAACATCCAAGCCGGCTGCCATCTCGAATTTACCCTTTCTCATTATAGACTCACTGAATTTGTCTTAATGTTCATTGTGTTGCTATGGCAAAAGGCCAGCTGTTTGTTTTTGTTTAATTAGTCTTATGTGTAAAAGAAAACATAAACACGTTATCATACAGTGTCAACTAAAATCGAGATATTAAATTGTTATTGAAAGCATTTTCAATGGAAAATGATACGTTGGATGAGATACAAGAGTGACAAACATCAGAAAGCTAGAAAAATGATGGATGACTGGAAAGATGTTCTCCAGCTCTCATTTAGTGTTTTTGTCCTTAAATTCATACTTGTTACAATTTTCTATCTCCCTCTCTCTCTCTCTCTCTCTCTCTCTCTCTCTCTCTCTCTCTCTCTCTCTCTCTCTCTCGCTCTCTCTTTCTCAGGTGCTTCTTTTCATCACCATCGGCGTCGCTCAAGGCGGCCACTCCCATCCCGGCTTTGGCGGTGCCGTGAATGCCTACATAAATGATTCAACCATTGAAGATCAAGCTGTTCACTGCATTGAAGACAAGCACTCGTACTTTTTCGGTGCCGGCATCTGCATGTGCTACCTGCTCAATTGCTGCGTGCTGGTTATTTGCTACCTCCTCGGCGATACCAAGACTCAGTTCTCCAAATTCGTACGTTTTTTGATGGGAATAGTCCAAGTTTTCAAATCGAAGGAGATTTACATACCCAGGGCATGTGCTAGTTTGGGTAGCTTTTGTTAACTTTATCATTTTTGGAGAGCTTCATGATCACATCGTTGTACGTGACAACAAAATGCAAATATCGACCCCCCCCCCCCCTCCTAATAAACAAAAATCACAAACAAGTAGCAAAATGTTTACATGTCACTTCCCTTTCCCAAAGGCACTTAAGATTGATCTTCGAGACTGGTTGTCAGTGTCACTCTAGGCTAGAGTTCATAGTCGGGAGATGTCCCCTTGTTAAACTCGAGTTTGATTTTCCAGGAGCTGGGGATGTCCGTCATTGGCAGCGCGTTGTTCCTGGCCCTGGCTATGAAGCTGTTCGTGAGCAGCAGTGGCGACAGCACCGCCGGAGGAGAGGACGACACGGCCAAACTCATCACCGAAGGATGCTGCTGCGTGGGCGTCGCCGTGCTTCAAATTGTCGACGCCATATTTATACATATTCGCATTAAAGACAACCCCACCGATTGACACCATAGGAGAGACGAAAGCATGTGATATTTTGCCGCTAAAGAGCAGTGTCTGTTTTGCTATTTAGGAGTGTTTAAAATGCGTCTTGACGTTTCATTGCCTTTGTGAAAACTGCTGAGATAGGAACTGAAAAATAAACCGCTTCATAATGTGTTAGTTTTTCATGTGCAGGCTAGTCATAAATAGCGTGCAGTGTCAGATTTAACTTTAATTAGCAAGCGTATATTTTATTAGGAAACTTGGCTCTCAGTCTCATTTAAGAACACTGTGTATTTAAGTGTAGACTATCTCGATGAATTATGCTAACAACTGAAAACTCTAAGTATTACTGCAAATATTTTAACTAGAAGCTACCCAGGCGTAACTTCAACTTCCACCTCTATGTCAGGCTGTATCGGATATTACCTCTAGCTACAATCTGCTGCCAGTTTCGCTAGTCACTTGTATCGGACGACAGAGCTCTATACACTCTAAGCAAATACCGACGTCATCCATCAAACCTTGTCTACAACCACAGCTACTTGGTCAGTGATATATGTATTATTGGTTCCGGTTGTTATCTTGAGCTCCACCCTTCACTGAGTGCGTCTATCAGTGTATCGTGAGCAAACTACACAATCTTGGGTAGAACTAGACAGGATTCGCTTTGTATCTATCTCCCCTATCTGAATATTTATTTCCATCTGTCAACGTTCGGGTGTAAGATGCGCCCGTCCCCATAAGTTGTACTGATCTCAGGCAGCTTTTGCCAAATTGTCAGGGAACTCAGATTTGTTTTTCAATAGAAAAACACAATTCTTAAGAATAGTGTTTTAACTATTGACAACAAACCTTCGGTTCCTTTTCAGTGCTGAAGGGATTCAGACTGACAGAGTCCATACTTTTTTACCTGGGATTTAGCATGATATATTCCGGCAACCGGGCAGGGGATTAAAAAAGAAGTTAACATATTGTACTTCTTCAGGAGATTAAAAACGCTGAATCTCAAATGAACATGATAACGCTAAGTGGGCATAAACTCGAGAATCTTGTGATGGACAAAGAACGTCTCGTAACAACATATGTCCATCAGACATTTAGGTAAATTCGAGCTTTAAAAAAACCTTTTGATAAGTGCATTTCGATAAGAAATTGATCTGGGATTTCATTCAATGCTCATTGATCCGAAATTCATTGTGATCATATATTTATCATCCAACTTATCCATGTTATCGCGTGATGCTTAGAGATGAGAGGCGACCATGATTTTATCGTCAAGAAATTAATTGAGCTTACGGATTCCGACATGATTTAGACCGAGATCAAATAAGATTTCGTCTTCTTAAGTAGCTTTTGCTGCAAGTTGCAATAGTTCTGTCTTAGAGATTCAGTGTGATCACTGTTTGTAGATCGCAACTGTATGGTTATTGACAGAAATCAATCGGGGCTCCATTAGGAGTTTATCAAATAATGAACATATGAACTTACTTTATAAGACTGCTCGCATCTGACGGAAGAGCCGCATCGTGTCTGATATACTGCTAAAGACGGAATCATATTCCATCATATTCGCCCATCGTCAGCGTGATAATGCACACGAGTACTGGTAAATACCGTTACAGATCTGTCGTATCTTATCGAGGCTTTGATCTTAGAGCCAGCTGATGACATCATCCGCTGGGAGTGACATTTTGATTAAGCTGAAGGAGCTAAGGCGGTCAAAATTAAGCCGTGTGGCGATCATGAGGACAATTTGATACGACCTACTTCAAATAACGATATGGCTGCAGAAGAAGACAGAAGATATGTAAAATGTAAATACATTTTAAAACTACGATTTAACCAGCTTTGCGGTGAAATTCATTTATAAATAATTTACCTTCATATTTGTAGAAGTTAGATTTTGACTCCTTATTTGGCCGCTTGAAGCAGAAAGAGCACATTCTCAACCAAACACTGGTGATGGTTATCTCAAGACAACTTCACCACAATTATTAATTGTTTCGAAGAAAAAATGTACAGCAGCCAAGGCAAAAGATCTTCAGCTCGACTTACCCTGTCGGCAAGATGTTGTGCAACTGTCGCGTCGAAAAACGCAAACACCATGGTTACCATGGCAACGGCTCCGAGTGTGACATACATGGGAGGGTAGATGAGGGCCCGGCCGTATGACAGCGAATGGCTTGAGCGACCTGAGAACAGACACATGGGAGGATTGGTGACAACAACAACACACATTTTACGCTGGTGTGCGGTGTGTCTCTCCGACTAGAGGTCTACACTTGACACATAGATAGGTATATGTACTTAAAAGTTTACACAAGGTTTACAGCAATAACGTTAACACGCGCACCGACGGGGGGCGGATATCCGCCCCCCCTGAGGTTTTTCGCGAACAGCGGGAAAACCGCGGCGCGTAGCGCCACGAAATTTGGTACGACTATTCCCTCATCAATTTTACAAATGGTGTGCAAGTTTGAATCTCCTACCTTTTAAGGTCAGGTCACCAGGTCACTTTGAATGACCCAACCTCAAGTCGCTTTTTTGCAACTTTGTCACCGTGCCAGAGCTACAGTAGATGTCGGAGGCCTTTGAAAGTCGCAGGATGTGATTAGGTCATTAGTAGCTACAATTTGTATATCTCTGAATTTTGATATCGGTGACCTAAGGTCAGGTCAATTTCGCGACCTCCCCATAATTATAAGTCAATGGGGGAAAAATCAACTCCCTATTTTTACCACTAAAACGGGTCGGAATGGCCCCATATACCATACATGACTTCATATACGATCAACCTTCACTACCTTGAGGTCTGTTTTGCTGTTGGGCAGCTGTGAGGTCATGTGACGTCATCAAAGGTCACCAAATGTTTTTGGCCAATAACTCCGTACAGGAACAAGATACAGCCACGTGGATGGTCTCATTGTGTTCATCTCGTCAAGACGCATCGAATGATATACATGATGACCTCGAGGTCACGTGACCTGAGGTCAACCTTTGACCTTGACTTTTCGAGGTCAACGTATATATCATTCGATGCGGATTGACGAGAGAATCACGATGATGCCCTTAGTTTGTTCCTATCTTGACTAATTCGAAAGTTATTCGAGAAAAACTCTCTCCATATCTAGCGCCGCCATTTTGACTTTTTCGACCCCTGTGACGTCATCTTTGACCTGACCTGAAAATGATCTTTGTAAAAATTGTAGATCTTGACCGTGCGTATCCGATGCCGTTTACCGCTTGTCGCTATCTTGCTTCGTTCTCGAGATCTCAGGGGGCGGTCATCCGCCCCCCCCCCCGTCGGTGCGAAGTTGGCGCAGACCCCCGTCGATGCGCGGGTTAATAAGGCTTGTTCCATAAAAAAATCATGTCATTCAAGCACTGTTTGAACTTTGACCCAGCTTGTTGGTTCACCTAGGAGGCTTAGAATGTATGAATGCCAATCTCCGATGCTCGCTCACAACAATCATCAATTGTGACTATGGCCTCGCCATGATATCTTACCCTCGATTTTGGGCATCGCCAGCGCGTTGATGGGTAGCAAAAGAAGCAGAAACGCTCCCACGGCGTAAAAAGGCATGCTGTATCCGCCCACCTGTCAAAAAGAACGGAATGAACAAAAGATGTGTCATCTCCATCGCGTCGTTGATGAAGCGGTCAAACTAATCCCAGCCAAGCGCCAAAGTAATAAAGTAAATAGTAAACAATAAAAATTGTATCTTTAGAACAGAGGTTTGATTGTTATTACACTACAGCACAGTCCAAAGTGTTTGCATTTTGCACTTCTCTGAGATAGTTCGATTTTTCTATGGACCATAGAGCAGCGTGGAACTGGACACCTCTTGTTCCCGCCTCTGCTTTAGCCCAAGATACGATTCGTTGTTCTTTGCCAGCAGTTCTGCGAGTGCACGAGGCACAAATCACGTGTCTTCTTTAGCCCTGCGAGTTCTGTTGCACACGACACAAATCGCGGTGCTGCATCCTGGCGAACCTGGTTGCTTCGATACCGCGTGTCAGCCGGTACAGTTTACTTGCAGGCGTATACAACTAGCGACATCTATGAACCATTTGATAATATGAAACACTATGTAGGTGGCAGCACCATACTGTAGGTGGGTCTGAGGTGGAATAGCCGTAGAACTATATACGGCCTTGCGTAGAACTGTCGTACATACCTCGAACAGAAGACCCCCGAGGGCGGGTCCCACGCAGAGACCCAGGGAGGTGAACACCTCCAGAAGGCCCAGAGTGAGCGAGATCTTCTCTGAAAATCAGACAGACAGATCAAGAGTCATCAAGGTGTGCCCAAGTGAGTACCTAGCGACCCAACGTCAGGAGCAGGACGGACGGACAACATGCCAGCGATTGAGAGAGATAAGCACCTATAACAGCAACCACGGCTTTGTGGATCGTAATAGCATATATAAAGAAAATGAAAAACCTTAGCCTCAGTTATTTATTGTATTGTTAACCCGCGCCGGGCCGGTGCTCTGAGATTCCGCGCCGGGCCGGGGGGGGTGTCTGAACACCCCCCCCTTTTAACTCGGCTCCTGGGCCACGTAGCGACACGCGGTAAGCGGCAATCGAAAGAACGTCCAAAATAAGGACGAAAACACTTCGGTCATTTTTTGGGTCAGGTCAAAGGTCAGGTCACCAGAGGTCACCAAAGGTAAAATGTTGACTATTTCAACATTTTGGAAACTGCCAACGGCTATCTCGGGAACCGATAGAGCTACAGCGCCGCGGAAAAGCGCATTCGATAGCCCTTTTACAGGCCTTTCTGAGCAATGTTCTCAGATTTGACCTCAGGTCAACGGTTTAGCCTCCAGAGGACAAAAACTCCAAAAATAGCCGTTTTTACAAAAATCGGTTTTTCGGCGATAACTTTTGACTCAAAAGAGCCATGACATTGCTTTTGCCAGCATCGTGTTCCTCTCGTCGAGACGCGTCGAGTGAACTATAAGTTGACCTTGAAAGGTCAACTTGAAAATTTGACCTCAGGTCAAGGTCATGACCTGACCGGAAAAGGTCATGTTGCATATCAGTCGATCCGCAACGTCGAGCCGAACACATCTAAGGCGTTTTCAGCGCTCTAGGACGCCTCTATCAGAAGTTATTAGCGAAAAACTGTTAGATTCTGTTCGTGACCTGAGATGACCTCGGGGACATAACGAGGGGTCACAGTTGCCATTTTCTGGTTCAGTGTGTCAATTTTACCTACATCTCGATGTTTGAGAGTGTCTAGAATGGCGTTCGTGCAAAACAGACGCTTTTCAATTTTCTCCCATTGACTTATAATGGAGAGGCCGCAAAATTGACCTGACCTTAGGTCACCGATATCAAAATTCCGAGATATACATTTTATAGATACTGTTGCTCTAATCAATCGCTGAAAGTTTCAAGGCAATCAATCAATCGGTGTAGCTATGACGAGCATTCTTATTTTTTCTGAGGTGAGGTCACTTGGCGTGACCTGGTGACCTGACCTAAGGCGACATGGGTCTGAAATTTTTACAACATGTGCGGAAAAGATGTACGAACAGGTGTGCCAAAAACGGCGGCGCTCCGCGCCGCCGTTTTTGAGATATCTGCGAAAAACCGCAGGGGGGGGGTGTTCAAACACCCCCCCCCCGGCCCGGCGCGGGTTAAAAAGACAAAAAAAAACTATATTTGGCTATGGCTTTGGCTATGGCTAAAAAAAACGCATGTGAGTGGGCTATATTTAGCCTGTGAACGTTATACAAACGCATGTGAAGTCGTTGTAGGCGAGGTCACTCACCTGTGAACGTGCTGGCCACATAGGTGAAGGTGGAGGTGAGGTTGGCACCCGATCCTGTGCCCATCATCACCCGGATGACGAAGCAGTAGATGGTGAACATCTGGAGATCTCGGACGTAGATGAGCAGACTGTAACCAAGAGAGAAAAGTTTCGGTCAAGTTTCGGTTGACATGTCGTTTACAGTGAAAAAAACATACGAGGTGTGGCTAAAAAGAAACCGGACTGCTTGTGCTGGTCATTAAGTAGGGGACCCGAAGACTAGCGAGACACTTGACATTAACCCGGCAGGCGGTGGGCCTACCAGCCACCTTCCGCGCGGTGGGGGGGGGGGGCACTTTTTTGCCCCCCCCCCCCCCCCCGTATCTCCGAAACTACTGAACGGATCCGGAAAATTCAAACGGCGTTCGATAGCCCTGTCAAATTTGTCGAAGGAAACCAAACTTCATTGACCTCGGGGTCACCGATGACGTCACAGGTCAGGTCAAAGATAAAATGTTTCACCGTTCACGGGGCTTCTAGGGAAAGCGCTATGACACCGAGTAAAACGCATTTTGTCGAAAATCAGCGATAAGGCGTCAGTTGTCTAGTACATATGTTGCTATTAGAGGTCACTGGTCATACCAGGTCAGGTCACAGGTCAGGTCACCAAAGGTCACCAAGGGTCACCACATGAGCCCAACTTTACTAAGGTTATGCGATGCATGTTTTATGGCCAGTTTTTCATTTCCAACTCAATGGTGTTGGTTATAAGACCATCAGGTACGGTTTAGGTCACTTTCTGGTGGAGGTCAGGTCAAGGTCAGGTCAAAAAAGGTCAAATTTCAAAGTTGATATTTTTGCATAAAATGGGTATCGATTCGATGCAGCTCGTCACGGGGAGTCTAATGGTAGTCTTTGTTTTGCGCTACGAGGTCTAGAATTGCTAAAAATTAGGTTTGAAAATTTGACGTCATCAATTTTGAACAGGTTTTTCGCTATAACTTGGCCAAAAAAAGAGGTATCGATCTCAAATTTAGTATGTAGATAGAAGGTGGTAGGAGCTATCACATATATTCCGGTTTTTTCGAAATTCAAAAAACTTTTTGGATTTTAAGGCTATTATATTCAAAAAATCTATTTTTTGATTTTTGGGGGTCAAAATCAAAAAAATCGAAAAACCGAAATAGCAGTATTGTAGCCCTCTTAATTCCACACCTTTTATGTCTGAAACATTTTCTGTATCTCTAAAGCTGTAGGCCTGACAGCTCTTCCAGCGAAACCTTTTTTTGGGTCGGAAATGGCAAAAATGACGTCACTCTGACGCCATTAGCGGCCAACCTATCATAGCCTTTGGAAACATTTTTGGTCACCATGTGCGCTAGCTGCTCCCGGGAGGGTACTGAAAGTTTGGTGACGATCGGCGCAGCGGTTCTCGAGATATATCGAAAAAACTAAAGGGGGGCAAAAAAATGCCCCCCCCACCGCCTGGAAGGTTAACCCGCGCAATGCTGGGGGGGTGTTTGAACACCCCCCCTTGTGGTTTTTCGCGAATATCTCAAAAACGGCGGCGCACACCTTATCATACATCAATTCTACACAGGTTGTGAAAATTTCAGACCAAGGTCATTCAAGGTCAGGTCACCAGGTCACTTGAAGTGACCTCACCTCATAAAAAGTTTCAATGTCTGTCATAGCTACACCGAGTGACCGATCGCTTTGAAACTTTCATTGATTGCTAAGACCAATAGCACGTACAAAATGTATATCTCAGAATTTTTATATCGATGACCTAAGGTCAGGTCAATTTTGCGACCTCCCCATTATGTCAATGGGAGAAAATTGAAATGCGCCTCTTTTGGACGAAAGACATTATAAACACTCCCAAACACTGCATTACAAGTAGTTTAGACACACTGAACATGAAAATGGTGTCCGTGACCCCTGTTTATGCCCTGAGGTCATCTTAGGTCCCGAATGGTATCTAACAGTTTTTCGCAAATAACTTTTGATAGAGGCATGCTAGAGCGATGAAAACGCATTAGATGTGTTCAGCTCGACGATACGGATCGACTGATATGCAACATGACCCTTTCAGGTCAGGTCATGACCTTGACCTAAGGTTAAATTTTCAAGTTGACCTTTCAAGGTCAAGTTATAGTTCATTCGATGCGTCTTGACGAGAGGAACACGATGCCGGTAAAAGTAAGCTCGTGCAAGGCTTGGGTCAAAAGTTATTGCAGAAAAACTGTTTCCGAAAAAAAATCGGCTATTTTGCAGTTTTTGTCCCCTGCAGGCAAAACCGTTGACGTTGGGTCAAATCTGAGAGAATTGCTCAGAAAGGGCGTTAATAGGGCTATCGAATGCGCTTTTCCGCGGCGCTGTAGCTCTATTGGTTCCCGGTTTATGCGATGACATCTTGGAAATTGTCGACATTCGACCTGGATATCGGCGAAATTTTGCCTTCAATGACCTCTGGTGACCTGACCTTTGACCTGACCAAGAAATTGACTGAAGTGATTTCGTCATTATTTTTGACGCTCTTTCGAACGCCGCCTTCCGCGTATCGCTACGTGGCCCAGGAGCCGAGTTAGAATGGGGGTGTTCAGAACCCCCCCCCCCCCCCCCCAGCAGGGCGTGGAAATCCAGGACCCCCAGCCGGGCGCGGGTTAATCGCTATCATATTGTCGTGATGTGTACCAAACGGCATCTCGATATTGCTATTATTCTCCTTTCCACAGCTCTTTGTTTTATTGATGACGCTGACGCCGGTCACTCTGGTCTGGGTGTCCTCGACCGATTCAAAATGGGTTTCCCTGACGACGTTTTTCATTTAAGGGAACAGCCAAAAAACACAGGGAGGGAGCTCTGGCGAGTAAAGAGGGTGCTTGAGCACCACGACCTCCTTTTCGGTAAAGAACTGCTTGACGCTAATGGCAGAATGCGCGGGCGCGTTGTCGTGATGCAGCACCCAGTTCTTGGCTTCCCAGAAATTCCACTTTTTGCGTCTGACTCGTGAGATGAGGCGTCCCAGGTCTTCCTTGTAGAAGTGCTGGTCGACTGTGGTACACCTCCGGCACGAACTGGCGGTGAACGAATCCCCTGTGATCGAAAAAGACGACCAATGTCGTCTCCACCCTCGACTTCGACATGCGCCCGGACGTTGATGGACCTCCAGACCTTGGGGTCATCACCGACATCCTAACGACCAGTGCCCAACCTCGTATGCCATTCATACACTTGCATGTGACACTTGACTTGCTTCCCATAAACAGCCTTGAACAGATTCAGCGGCTCCGCTGGACCTTTCTCCAGTCTGGCAAGGAACGTGATGTTCCTTCTTTTTTTCGACGCTCATTGTAGAAGCCTGGCGGTGACAAGACCGTCAAACATCAATAAAACAAAGAGCTGTGGAAAGGAGAATAATAGCGATAACGAGGTGCCGTTTGGCACACATCACGACAATATGATAAAGATTAATGTCAAGTGTCTCGCTAGTCTTCGGGCCCCCTACTTTATGGCCAGCACGAGCAGTCCGGTTTCTTTTTAGCCACACCTCGTAGGCGACCGACCGGCGTTGGCGGAATAAATGATGTGGGAAGGGGTCTACTAGTATTGAATAATCAATAAATAATAAATTAAGTAAATAAATAAGAATAAAAAAAGTAATGTCAATACTTAAAAAAAAAACACTCAGCCGTAGTAAGATAACATTGTGAAGTTATCGCGTGAAAAAGCAAAAAACAAAAAGAAAAATTCAAGGGCATTTAAAAGAATGCAATAACTCCATCAAACCTTTTGTAGTACCTAATTACGACTGTCAAATAACACAGCTGCTCATGCAAATTTATCATAACTTAAAAAGGAGGTGAAAACTGGAACGCATTGGTCCGACGTAGGTAGCATAACGAGCAATTACATATATGTCGAGCGATTTTTAAGTTCCAGATTAATTACCTACTCTTATACGGCCTTGAAATTACTCATGCATCGATAAATGACACGCCCCTCAAGTCGGCGCCATTCAGGCCACTCAGTGCCAATAGCACAAACCACTCAGGAGCCTACCTTACCCGAAGCATACGTTTCCAACTCCGACTGCCACCGTTCCAGCTACGAACACGTTCTTCGGTCCCAGAAACGGTACCTGACGGCACAGAGGGGTGTGTGACGTCATAGTGCTGTGACGTCATGGTAGGGCCTGAGCCAGGGTGACGCCATCGTGCCGTGACGTCACTGTGAGAGTTGAGGCAGTGTTTCGCCATTTTCCGACAAGATGTTCTAGGCAAGCGAAATTTTAGACATGCTTCTTGTTCGCTTTAGATATGCTCGATAGGTTCGCTTGTAGAGCATATTGAAATGTACGAACCGTTGCCATTTACTGCAAATGCTTACAGCTTAGAGCAGCATTCGGTATTTACCAATGCCTACCAATTATCCAGCAAAATTCTCAGGAGTAATCAGCAGTCCTTACCAATCTGGTCATGAGTGCCTAACAGACCAGTGCAGACGCCGTTGCCGAACACCAGCGTGAACATTACCAGGGCTGACAATTAAAAATTATCAGTCCTTACCAGTTTGGTCATAAATGCTGAGCAGACCAGGGCTGACAGGGGGTAGGCGCCGAACACCAGCGCAGCGGTGGTGGCCGACATTCCCCGAGACGTTGCCTGCAAAAGAAAACAAAACGGGAGACATTAATGCAAAAAAGTGTATGTTACATTCGCCGTGTACCAAGCAGTAAGTAGGTACAATGTTCGGCTAGGAAAGTGTTCGTATGTATTTGGCATTTATAGTTAGTACATAGAAAGTGGAAAGCA